TGATTAGTAGGAACTAAATGTATGATGAGCAAGATTTTAAACAGAGTATGTTGTATTCATCTATTCAAATCTGTAGGGTTCTATCTGTCAAAGGAATGGTCATTTAATTAACAAAGATGCAACGTTACAATGAACCTATTCCTATAAATAAGAATAATTTTGTTTTGGTCGAACTCTTTGAATCACGTTATAACCTTGAAAATAAAGACCAAGTGACCTTAAAGCAGTTATTCCAACCAATCACAATATTCATTTACGTTTTTAAAAAAAGTGGATCATTTCGAAATCACTCACTTTTGTTGATATATGTTAATATGCATAATGGTACACAATGAATTTTCACTATTTGATATATATCTAATTATCTTATCTTAATGTTGATAAAAATCAGCCCGTAATTTTTGACTACTTTTATAAATTTAGTTAATTAACAAATTAGAAATCAAAATTATAAAATAATAATATTTCGAATCTTATCCACATCATATTGTCTTATCACCCACCTATCGAAGTTCATCCTCTTTCATGAAATCACATGGGTAGAGAAGTTCTTTGTTACACCATAACACATCATCTCTTATAGACAATATAAAAGTACAGACATTATGATAGGGTAAGTTAGATAGAGAGTGAGAATTGGTCAGTTTAATAAATCAATGAACAAATGAAAAAAGATAGCGAAATAATGTATCATTCAATGAATATACACACAGGGGTTTTTAAGGTGGTTACATTGTAAATAAATTTATGTCGCATCTATATTATTCACTAACCAATTACAATATAGTTTAACTTGTTCAAATCTAGAAAAAAAGAATCAACAGGGTAACACAAATAGGCAGACTATAGATAATTTGACACTATTTAATAATTTTCGAATTTACTGACAATGATATGAATAGTAATAATAATATTAATAGTACTATTATTATTAGTAGTAATGGTAGTGTTAGTATTAACAACAATAACAACAACATTTAAGACAAAACATAACTGACTCATACAATTGTGTGTGTACACACACAACACATAATGAGTACAAATCGAGAATGAACATACATACAGTATTTCCGTTAGTCAGTCATAATACCTTATTTGTTACGTATATCTTACATGAAAAAAAAATCGTCTTTGTGTAAAACTGATTCAATTTTCATAATAATAAAAAAAGTAATTCTAAAGATTCAAATAGTTACATTCCTTTCAGAAACAATAAGAATGAATCATTCTTATTTGTGAATGGACAAGAACATTTTTTTCTCTCGAATAAACTTTTGAATACACAACAACAACAACAACAGCAACAACAACAACAACGTTGAAACAAACTGGTTATCAATTATACAAAGGATAATTATTGATTCAAACTTTTATTATAAACACAATCATTCTGATCATTTTACTTTCAAAAAGTAAGTTTTATTCTTTTCTTTTCGTTTCTTTTTTTTTCATGCTTTGAATATATTACTTAGTGTATTTTATGTGAATTTGTAATTATCAAAGTGAATTATAGTTGTACAATTACACTTAGAGTGACTTGAATTTAGTCATATTTGTAATATAATGTGTGGAAAATTGGGACAAAACTTTTTAATTCCCTTTATATCTGATTAATTAACAATATGGTTTACTTTATATTTTACACGTTTAGCTAATCAGTTCACCATTTCATGACCAATGATTATTTCATTTTAGGGAATTAGCTTAAATAAATTCTGATAGAAAACCATAGAATTACGTTGTTTTTTTTTGTTGGTAGTTGATAATTATCAATAAGATATGCCTAGAATCTTGATGGATTAATCATTTGTAAATATTTCAGACCTAGAAGATATTAATCTTTGCTTAAATCATTCAGTGGTAACATCTGAGACGATAAAGCTGAATAATCTATGGTTTGACTACCATAGGGGAGTATCAATCCTCTTAAAGTTACAGGTAAATCTCAGTGACAAGTGTCAACTGACAATGAAACCTAGATTAAAAAGCATTCGTTTCCTACTAGTTTCAACTATCTAATAAAGTTGGAATTATTGATTAACTTAACTAAATCTGTGAAATTGAACTTATTATTTCAATACAAAACATTCAACCATGATAATGTGACTGAAATTATTTCTTAATTAGACAAATGTTAAAGACACATTTTTAAAGGGAATATGTTGAACTTTCTACACAATATTATGAATCTTGTCTTATTGTTTATTAAAATGGTTAGTTTTATAACATCCATACAGTAATTCCATATTTCTCATGAATCACCAAATTATAAATAATTGGGTAGAACTCTTATTTGTTAAGTTATGATTACAAAACTTATCCAACTGATAATATTTGGTTATTATGATTATTCAATTGATGAATTGATATAATACATTGAATGTTTGAATAAGCTAATTGAACTGACATTTTGTTTATGGGAACCAGACTTTTATATCTCGACTGAACATTTAAAAAAATGATGAAATATATACTGTCCTTCTGACTGGCACTTAGGTACAAAATACTCAACTAAGATAGTTTATTCTCATAATTCATATGAAAAAGTGGATGTAACTAAACAACAACTGGTAATAACCAGAAAGCATTGAACATTCGTTTCGTCCCAGTGTGAAAATCCACAGAAATTGAAATCCATAAATATATTGAGCATTGTACTCAGGACTTTCAGATTACATAATATGCGCTTAACACTTAGACCACTTTGTTAGGATTCAATAATTTATATCAGCTTTCTTTTAGGAAACTAATTTATCTGATATCGATGGGAACTTTTCGCGAAAAATTTTTTTCGATTAATCTAGAGAAATATATTTATTAAGGTATTCACAATTTCATTGACAATGTTAATAATTTAAATAAAAATAATGCAATACAAAGTCTAAATAATGTTTTACATCACTTTAAGAGTTTACAAGTATATATTCATTAATCATTATTTGTAGATGTTTGAATTATCCCGTCGATAATATTCATGACTGATTTAGAATAGACCCTATTGTTTTACAATCTCTTGGAACAGATGCTTAGAAATTGACCGATTTTTTTTTGTTCATATTTTCAACCAAACTTCAGCATTAGAAAGGATGTAAATATTAGGTTTATGTTCCAACATGAATATCAACAGCATATCTAGGTGAGGAGTTCCAGATAAAATGAAACACAAATCTTAAATTCATCATCCAGAATATGATCATTTATTAATTAAAGTTATAATAAGAATAAAAAATCAGTTTCAATAAGTTCCATAAAAAAACGTTAGCTTTCACGCTAAATAACTTATTATGATACGCATTTTCGTTAGATATTTTAAAATTCATTCCGGTTCAATATTTTTAAGACACCATTTTTTCATCATGGTTCGAATTTCTCGAGGCGAGGTCGTGGATGCGCACTGCTGAGGAGTCCCACAATAGGACGAAACGGTCGTTCAATGCTTCCAGGTTTTCCATGATGGTCTAGCTTCAATTGACTCATGATTTCAACTATTGTAATTATTGAATGTTTAAACACTGCTCTATCCTTGAAGTGAAATTTATGTATATTATATCCATAACTTCTTCAGATCTCGTTTGGGGGGGGGCACATAGCCTTCAGAATACTAAGTGGATTCATAATATGGAAATACGTTTCTTTACGAATTTCTGCTTACACTTTTGCAGTAGAGACCAGTTGGTTGGATTTTATTGAGGTATCGCAGACTAAGGCAATAATTTCCCACCTAGCCTCTGTTTACAATAAAGATTATAATAAAATTAATGACATGAAAGCTTTCAGTAGAGTTTCCTCCCATTTTTCTAAAGAATAAAGTTCCTTCTACCATTTTAATCCCTCAAATCGAGTGACATTTAAAACTAGGAGATACTATGTTAACTAATAATAATTATGTTTTCACCAATTATTATTTTCATCAAGAGACAAGAAGTCACCTCGCGAGAGTATGCCAATAACTTATGATCCATGACATTTGATATGAACTGTGCCAAGTTTCTCAGTTAAAAACATAGATAATTGAAGTCTAACTCAGCATATTGATAGTACTTTGTTAGATCTAAATATGCTTTGTAGTGGTGTGTACAGCGAAATGAATCAGCTTCCCAGTGTTTACTGATTTTCAGTGTTTCGTTAAGTGGTGTGAGTTCTTTATCATAATGATCTTCAAGTAAGTTAGATCATGTAGTTGAGTTCACTTTGAATATCTGAGATCACTATACACATTAATACGAACTAAGTAGCAGAAACGTGAATAAATTTTCTTTCTGTAACGAAACAACTGATGCTACAAAACACTAAGATGACTGAGGTGTAGTTGAATCGATCATTTATAAAAGTAAATACAGTATTAGATGATAATGAGCTATCTGACTTGAAAATTTGTTAAAATTAACTTTAGTTTCTAATTTGCTAACTCCTCTGAGGGCTGAATTAATAATAATGGGCATGAATAATGTGATCTACATGATATGTAAGATGTTTTCTCAGCATTTGAAATTCAGTAAACTTCACAAAAAAGTTCAAACTTATAGATTGGAATGATAATGATCAGTTAAATCAAACTTTGTTAAGTCAGTTCACTGGGTTAAAACGAGAGAGTCTGAATCCTAAATCAGGTGATCTCTAATTTTACTTCAGTAACTGGGAAACAAAATTGAACACCAAGCTGATGCTACACTAGGTAAGATGACAACCCTGTGTACATATATATGACTTTGTAACGTCTTAAATTGTTTAAGATATATGTTCAGCCCAGTATGGTATACTGTCAATATTCGGACTACCAATTATGTTCCCAATCCCATTGAGATGGTTGGTCTTAGGTTGTTGCTTTACTAAATCAATATAACTACCAGTGTGATAAAGAATGTGATGTACTACTTGTTTTTTTTTCTGTGGTTAGAAATGTTTTATTGGGTGATAATCGCTCGTTATTTCTTTTTCAATTTTAAATAGATATTAAATAAATGTGTATTTAGACATAAAATACACTAACATACTTCAGTATTTCACTTCTGCACAGTTAAATATCTCGCGCCAATTTTTCATTATTTCCCACTTTGGAACAATATTTGTTTATGGTAAACAGTATGATGTACAGTCGTCTTGAGAATGAGAATCAATCTTTATGTAATTCTTTATCATCATCTTTGACATCTCCGACAGTAATCCTCCATCATCACCACCACCCAGATCATCACGGTCATCAACATCAGCAACAGCAACAACTATCACAAATTGCACGACCACAACATCTTAAAACTTATCAACATAATTCGCATCGTTTTGATCATCATCATCACCATCAACAACGAGAGGAATTGTGTCATTCGGATCCCATACCATTTTATCACTATAGTCCCATGTTATCATGGAATCAAACAGATTCACCGTCACAATCATTACCTTCTAATTCATTGATGTTTCTTACATCAAATAAAGATTTTCCTTTACAATCCGAGCAAAACGTACTGGAATCTAATCCAAGTTTGGATGTATCAAGTCAACATCATTCATGTCTAAATCATTATCATCCTCACCAACAACTAAGTGGATTAAATATTAAAGATAGAAAGCCATGTGATATATGTGGTGATGTAGCTGCCGGTTTTCATTGTAATGCATATGTCTGTGAAGCATGCAAGGTATGTGGAAGAATAAATTTTCCTTTTAATTGTTAATTGATAATGATAAGATTCATGAGGTATAGTTCATAAAAATGGGTAAAACAGACCATAAATATAGAGAAGGAAATGAATCATCAAACTGATTAGAAATAATATGACTTGTGGAAGTAATAATTACACAACAAAAATTTAGAGTGCGGTTTTTCAAGCAGGTAAGTGAAGGTCATTATAAATAAGGATAGAAATGAACGAAAGGTGATTATATGGTAATAATAATAAGAATAGAACAAATGAATGAATTCAATGGATTCTAACGTAATATATTCAGTTGTAATAATTAATTAGGGATAAGATTACATGTGATTTGAAGATAGAAAGGTTAAACGGTAGAACATATATTTAAGTGGAACTTAAAAGAAAATATAGAAACCTAGATGAGGAAACTATGAGTGTTGTGAGAAAGGAAATGCACACAATTCTAATTTTATATTGCATATTGCTAACTTTCCTGAAATGTAAAAGAGATATGTTCGTTCGACTCTGTAGCTGTGTGTTTTGACCTTTGATCTATTAAGTCTTACGATTTAGGGTCAGTTTAATGATTAAATCTTTTCAACTTTTGTCCATGATTATAAAACGTTCTTCATGAATTTCCTTACTAAATGGTAATGATAACAACCCTTTTTTAATGTTTAATAAGACTACTATATCTGGCATTTTCTAAAAATTTGCCGTTCATTTAGTATTTCAGTGCTACATATAAGAATGCAATTTCCACTCGGGACTTCATTTCAGTCATCTGAAACTATCTACATAGGTCTTCTATGAACATTTTATTGTGGCACATCTCAACTTGCCGGCTGAAAAAAACAACAAGAGCGAGTGAAAGTTATAGCTTGAAATGAAATCCTCTGTGAAAATTATGCATTTATTCACTAAATGAACGCAAAAATGGTGTATATCGCAATCGTATTGAAAACTGAGAGGCAGATGCATCAAAAACTCACGAACACGTATCCTATCACCCTATTTAAATACATAGGTACTAGCCTATACATTTCGTTTATCAAAATAATGGTAACATTTTCAGGCAATATTCAGCAGAAATTGATATCAATCTGTGTCCCATTGAAAACAAGTGAGTACTGAACAATCGTTTTGATCTAGAGTGGTACCTCTCAACAGTACTCACACAAAACATCGCCAAGGGACATAATCCAAAGATCTCCATGTTTTGTAGTGGGCGCTTAGCCATTGAAATACACATAAATTCTCATTAACCTACTCAGTCTAATAACACAGTTGTTTTAACTTATTTGATGAAATTAATTTACTTTGGATATCTGTCAATATGATGAACATGTATTCTCCGAGTTATTATTGCATTAATGGTTAATCTGATAGATGTTGACTTTCAGTTGGGAACTTCAGTAGATTAATTAATTACTTGGAGTTATTGAAGTTTTGACTGAACATTAAGTTCTTGGTATAAATAAATAAACTTTAAATAATAACAATCAATTAGGTCAGTTAAAAGAAATAATAGATTATTACGTATAGAGGAGAAGGTTTCGAAATTATTTTGAACGTTATGTTTTGCTCAGGTTCAATTCTGTCACATTCTAGATTTAATTCACACATCACGCTTGAATAGAAATGGAAGCTAATCCTGGTATGGAATGAAGGTTCACATTCTTGATAAAATTGTGAATTCAAAAAAGCCGGCTCAATTTTCCCTTTTCTGCATACCTTTAATGACTATACTTGAACAAACGTGACGCGCATTATTCGATACTTGATACTGACACTCAGTCTGGCCATACACGAGCCTGATCGGCTACTCGAGTGAAAAAGAAAGTTCATTATTCTAACCAAATCGAAACATATGTGTGCTCATATATATATATATATATATATATATATATATATATATATATATATATATGCCTTGGGAAATTAAGCCAGCCCTGTTGTATGTTTTGTCCTTTAGAAATGAAAGTCGTCTCTTTTTCAGTCACGTACGCTTACCATTTGGTAGGTATCTAATTGATCCAATGTCACTAGAATTGTTGGGTTCGTTCTTGGACCTATTTGTGAACGTAAATTTCTGGAGTCTTAAAGTAGGATGACTTAATTAACCAGTATTCTGTGATCTTTTTCAATGGTCTCCTAGCTAGTAATTTATTCTGAAAATTGTTCCCAATAATATTCTTAATTAACTCTGATATTTTACTGACCATTAGTAATTGTTAGGTTTATAACTGTACAAGAGTATATCATTTATTGAAAACATCTTGCTTTAGTTTTTATCTGCATATTTAGAAACGAAACATACACATATAACATTTACTGGGGATAAAATTAACATTAGTAGTGGAATAAAAGTCAAGTTATAGAAACCTTTTGTCTTTAACATTCTATCCGGTGATGTTCACAGTTTCTTTCTTTAAATTACGATCTTAGTAGCTACAAGATTTCCAACCGATATATTGATTCAAATGTATTATCAGCTTGTTGAGATATTGAATTTAACTTTCCCATTTGGATGTTCATCCTTTAGAGTAAGGATGGAATAGCTCTTAAAGTATAAAATATTACATGATTATCGACTCATCTATTCGAAACAATTTTTGACATATATCAAATGGCGAGAACACTGATTCATCTCTATGTAATGATCAGTCTTACATTTGAATAGTTACAATGGGGTCACTAATTTAAGTGGCTGAATATCATGAGCACTTTGTATCGAACTTAGATAATTGGAGGTGATTTCCAAGACGACTTATTAGTCTATCAGGATTAAGGAATGAACAAACAGGATGTTGCTTATTATTCCGTAATCAATGTGAATGTCTCAGTTCTAAAGTAGGTCAGCCGTAACTTGTATAATTTAATTGGTATTATCTCTGAATGCATGACTAAAATGTGTGTTGAGATCCCACATAAGGGGTCGGTTTCATCAAAAGTCCAGGTACACATTTCTGACAAATGGCAACTAATATGAAGCCTCCACATAAGGCTTTCTACCGATTGCATCTAACCTTTCCTGATAGCATTCGGATAAAACTTCTCAGAATTTATGAAAAACCAAGTAAATTTTATCGTGAAAAATATCACATTTTTTAACACAGGTTAAGCGCGTTAAATGTATCCGGTTTACTTTTTAAATATTCCTTTTTATTCTTTTCTACTGAATGATTTTGTTCGGTAAATTCTCCATAACTTGCTGAAACATTATGCGTGCGTGAGTTCGTGCGAAAAAAAGAAACACTATGAAGGGTAATGTTTTTGATAAGTTTGCATGGATTTTCTAAAATATTAAAGATACAAGAAAGCACTGAACAACTATTTTCTTCCTAGTGTCATGTTACTACTACTACTACTACTACACACACAAAGAATCATGAACCAAATTTATCCTGTTTTTTTTCAAATGTGAACAGGATACATTTAGATCATTGAGTCAGAATACAACAGTAAAATTGTTTGCTTTCAGCAAATACTAATGAAATGGTGTCTCCTCATCTCTTCTTGTCTCAGTCTATTAGATTATAACCATATAAGGTACAACTCCCGACTAGAAATTTGTAGAATTTAGCTCTTAAGTAATCATGACATTATTAGTGTGTGTATTGTGAAAATTGATGGGTTTTATTAAAACTAGGAGGCTTGAGTCTAGCTTGCGAGACTTCTATGCACCCCTACCTGCCTCTGGTGTTTCGGAATTTAAATTTCACGGGGTCTGAATTATTCTTGAAAGTCATCTAACACTATAATAGTATAATCAAGATAAAGCAACCAGTTTTACCGACCGGAAGTGAATTTTCACAACCTGTGTGGTTACTATGTGCTTTTTTATGTAGATGTGTAGGGTTGCACACACTTGTCTCAAGCCTTTATTCGGGCCCTACTTACTTTTCATTCGAGTATCATGTCAAAACAATTCACCATTACAGTGACATGTAAGAGTTTGACAATTAAAATATTATCATGTCAAATTGTCGTATTTTTCAAATTACGTACTTACTGCTTATCATATGACGTGAGACAGATCCAAACTTGGCGTCAGGCTTATCATATATGTTAGAAATAATACTGTTTATTGATACAGAATTAAATTATCAGGCTTATTACTCAGCCTCATTGACTGAAATACCATTTCCATCCCTCAAGAAAAGGCCAAATAAACGGCAATAGGATAATTTCAAAGATTAATGACACTGAGTCAGCATACATATTTATTAATCTATATTTATCAAATCACATTCATTTCATGATATTTCGATTATTTCGTTCCAACTGTACGTTTCCATTCTACTCGTCAACTGTTGCCATTTCATTCATTCGCATTCACAAGTCAACACTAATTATAATCATCAATCATTTCTTACTTAGACATTGTACTATCTACATTTCGTGATTTATTGCTTATCTTGTGTTGCGGAATTGTATTGTATTTCGTTTGTTGTATGTTGTACTTGATCACATGAGTTCTAAGTCAACTAACTAACTAACTAAATAAATAACTGATAATACTAAATACTTGATTGTCTTCGCAATGTTCCAATGATGGAATTGGGAATGTTTGATAAATTCTGTGTGGTCAACTGACTTGACAGCTTATCTATCGAATGTAAAATAGTTCATTTACAAAACTAATCATTTATGTATATGAAAAGTGAAAGAAAATCATGTTGCCATCAAAATGTTTTCAGGGATTGATCAAAATCACGCAGTCCATTAGGAGGTGGTGTAATATCCTGTTTGATACCTGGACAACCATAAGTTCGAACTTCCAAGTAGTCCAATACTAGAGCGAATAAGCTTTCCAGTCATTTCTGGTTTTCAATGGTACTCTATCTAAGATCATTTTTACAATCCATCAGTATAGACTATAAATTAAATTGATCTCTATAAAACTCCTTCAGCTAAACTATTCATGAACTTGTTCAATTGTGTGTCAGTTGTCCGATATTGAAACATTAAATCATGAATCCACTTTTTGAAAATTCCAA